AATTGGCGACGGTGTGAAAGCGGCTGGTGGCCGGCGGTTGGATGGTTGGGCGGTGACAGCTGGTGGTTGCCTTCCTTGACCTTCTAGATTAAGTTTACTTCAACAAATCTCCCCCTTAAACTCAATCGAGGGATGTCATTCCAAGCATGAATTTCAATCTAATAAATACTTCTCTCTTCAATGGCTTGATAAAGATATTTGTAACTTGATCATCTGTCTTGCAGGATATCAGCTCGACTTCTTTGTTCTTTACATGCTCTCGGATAAAGTAATGACGTATATCAATATGTTTACTTCTTTCATGATACACCGGGTTCTTTGCCAATGCAATCGCTGATCGATTATTGATATAAATCTCTATAGGATTTTCTTGAGGAAATCCCAAAAACTTCAGCAAATTCCTTAACCATATTAAATGGCATACAACTGAGTTGGCAGCAACATACTCAGCTTTACAGCTTGATAACGTGACAATCGATTGCTTCTTGGATGACCATGTGAAGATGTATCTCCCATTAAAAATACAAACCTTGTTGTACTTTTTCTTTCATCTAGATCTCTACCCCAATCATTATCCGAGTAGCCAGTAAGATTGAAATTTGTACTTGAGGTATAAAACATACCTTCATTTATTGTCCCTTTGATATAACGAAGAATTCTCTTGGCTGCATTCAAATGAGATTGGTCTGGCTTCTCCATATATCTGCTGATAAGTCCGACTCCGTAGAGTATATCCGGTCTGGTACATGTCAAATACCTTAAGCTTCCTACTAAGCTTTTAAAGTAAGTTGGATCAACATTTCCAACTTTACTTTTCCTCAATTCCACTCCATTCTCAACTAGAGTTGATACCGGATTGCAGCTTTCCATCTTGAACCTTTCAAGAATATCTTTGGCATAACTTCTTTGGGATACAAAAATCCCTTCTTCTTTCTGCACCACTTCTAAGCCAAGAAAATGTGCCATTAGACCAATGTCTGTCATCTCAAACTCTTGTACCATGCTTTTCTTGAAGTCTTCGAACATGGTAGGATTGTTGCTGGTGAATATCAAGTCATCAACATATAGGCACACAAATAATATGCTGTCATCTGCTTCTTTCTTTATATAAATTGCATGTTCATATGGACATTTTTTAAATCCATTATCTTGAAAATACTTGTCAATTCTGGTATTCCAAGCACGCGAAGCTTACTTCAAACCGTAGAGGGCTTTCTTCAACTTGTATACTTTGCCTTTATTTTCGGCATCAATGTATCAATGTGGTTGTTCAACATAGATCTCTTCTTCTAGAAAGCCATTCAGAAATGCTGACTTCACATCGAGTTGATAGATCTTCCATCTATGTTGTGCTGCTAGTGAGATCATCAGTCTGATTGTCTCTAGCCGGGCTACTGGAGCAAACACTTCTCCATAATCAATGCCTTCTCTCTGTTTGTAGCCTTTCGCCACTAATCTTGCTTTGTATCTTTGCAGTTTTCCTTTTGCATTCTTCTTTGTCTTGTAGACCCATTTGACACCTATTGCTTTCTTGTTTTCTAGTAGATAAGTCAGTTTCCACGTATCATTCTTCTCAATGGCATGCATTTCTTCATCCATTACTTTTATCCACTTCTTTTCTGTGATAGCTTCATTGAAGCTAAGTGGGTCACTATCTGCAAAGAAATAAAATAGAGTTGTATCTTCTATGACTTGAGTGGCGTCATACAACTCTTTTAGATTTCTCATTCTTCTTGGTCCTTCTGATGAGGATGCTGATGATGACTCTGGTAATGATGGTGTTGATGATGATTCCAGTGTGTTTCTCCTGTTGAATACAGGAAATCTGTGTACCGGACTTTGTGGCTCATCTTCTGGTACTATTGGACCTTCTGCAAGTACTGTTGGTACTTCTTCATCTTTAAGGATCAAATCAGTGCTGATCCATTTAACTACTTCTTGGTCATCATTCCATTGCTAAGTTTTATCTTTTTCAAAGATAACATCTCTGCTCATAATTACCTTATTGGTGATGGGATTATATAGCTTGTATCCCATCCTTCTCTCACCATATCCGACAAAGATGCATTTCTCGCTTTTATCATCGAGTTTGGTCCTTCTTGCATCTGGGATCTTTGCATATGCCACACAACCAAAGACTCAAAGATGAGTAACACTTGGTTTG